ATGTCATATATATATATATATATGGATGTGTAAGTATACAAATACGAAAATTAATTACTATATTGTTTTGAGGAAGGATAATTGGCTATCGAAAGTATCAACAGACTTGCTTACTTACTTGTCAAAGACAGCGGCCAGCATATACATATATGTATATACGATGTATCGTTATTGCTTTGTGCTATAATCGGCATATATATATAGGTATGGTCTGCGAACGAATCATTCATTCTCCTACGGTAGGCATATATGTATACATCCCTTTAACGTTAAGAGGCCTCTGCTCTGCATACTCTTTGGTTTTAGGCGTCGATCTTTGCCCGATACTAGAGACGGCACTGCGAGGCAAGACGACTACCTCTACATCTGTGTATCATGTGATTTTAAAGATTATAAGGGCGTACGAGGTGTAAAATTACGAATTTCGGGCTGAGCTTTTAGGGGTCCGTCTTAAAAAATTTTTAAAGATCAAACAGTTACCGCCCACTACATGTAGTGTGTATAAAAGTATTTTATTTTTAGAGGTACGCGATTTCGGGAAAATTCCGACGTGTCAATCAAACCATGTGCGTATTAACCGATCGACCGATCCGTAACGCGTGTCCACACGTGCAATGACACTCGAGTCCATACGAATTTACTGTGTGCACGGCGATCGAGCGTATCGCGCGCGTTTTTTCGCGTGCACCATGGATGCGAAAACCCAGCTCGGAGCTCCGATACACCCACCTCTTCTTTGTTGTGTTTCAACACGCGATCGTGAGTGGGTGTTTTTTTTTTTTTTTTTTCAGCCACCATTGTTTGGCAATTACGCTTTGAGTCGGTGAAACCGTGGGAATCCGATGAACGCAATAAAAATGCACAACAACCCCAATTACGTACGGGGCCAAAAAGCAAAAGAAAATATTGAGTTGACGATGCGTGGCTTTACTTATCCGGTAGAAGAATACAATCCAACGTTATGATACGGGTAAGCCGTACAAGTGGAAAAACAGTGTGGTAAGAAGATCAGTGTTTA